CATCATTTAGCGTAAGACCTAGTGTAGGAGAAAGGGGACAAATGTGGCTCTATGCCACTTGCATAGTCCCTTGAACCTGGTAATTTGAGCTGCTCTGCAAATTTAGAGCAGCCTTGAAGCTGCCCTAATTTGCACCCAGCTTCAAGCAATCTGAAGAGACTGTTCTGGGAGATGGGGGATCACCAGAATTCCTGAAACACCCTATGTGTAGGGACTGGGAGGTTGGCATACAGCTGGTTATGTCAGCGCAGTGTTAAGTGAATAGTCCTCCATGCCAAGAAAATCCTCATGTGGTCACATAAGCTAGCAATACCACCAGAGCTGCACAAAGGGTCTGCATCAGGGCTAAGATTTCTCAGCCATAAATTAGAGAGATGCAATTGCATCTTCATAACTAAGAATGTGTCAGGTTTTCTATGTTAAATTGGACATTAAAAAAGAAAAGATACTCTGGGTATTTTTTACTACAGGAAATTGAAAAATATGTATCTGACATATCTGAAGACTGTGTTTTAACTTGCATCCTGATTATTCCAGATGTTCCCCAGATGTCTGAGGGATACACAGTTTGAAACAGCAGAATGTGTTAGTTTTAACAAGTCCCAACTTCAGAGTGGCCATCTCACCGAGAACTTTCTGTTCATTTTGATTTTTCTGTTACTGGTCACTTTAATCATCAGTCTATAAGACCTACTTACATATTAGTGAAACTTAGAGTGAATTTGTTCCCAGTTTAGTTTGCTTCTGCACAAGAGAATGTGCATAAAGAGGCAAATCCTGACCCCTGCTGCTTCCTGTTCTCTTTATTTAGGTTCTCATGCTGTACTCATTGCTGTGGTATCTAACCACCTCCTGGCACAAATTATCCCATGAGCAGAGGAACTGATGTGGTTCCACTGGACACACGGGTAGGGATGAGGGCCAACTGGCAAAGAGGTGGGACCCTGTGCAAGGGTTTGTAAGGCTTGCATATGTTAGAGTTGCATTTCCCAGGAGATTCTCAAACTTCAGCACATAAGGGCATAAAGGTGAGACAAGTGAGTGGCAGATCTGAAAATACACAGATCCACTAACCAGTGCCTCTGAGAAGGGGAAGTGCAGCCTCCTCCATGCTCAGTAGCAAAGGTGGAGAGGTTCTGCTGCCCCTCTGTGGCTTGGGAAAAGTATTCCTTTCCTGCCTCCAGCCTGGCAGAAAATGAATTTAATCAGTTCTAGGATCTGGCCCAGAATGGTCTATTTCCTTTCTGCTGGAAAAATCACAGTAGGAAAGGTGCACTTCCTATGCCAGCCTTTTTGTAGAAATAAGTTGTGAGTAAACAGACAAAATCTGATTAAAAATTAAAAAGGAAAAACAGTCAATATATTGTGATGCTGCATATAGCTTGACCTTCTGAATGGAAAATTATTTTTATTTAATTCTCAGCATGGGAGAAAATAAAATAGCTCTTGACACTCAATCTGTGTTCCTTTACATCTCAGAAGTTAGAATTAGTTAGGGGGGTTACCTATGGAGTGTGCTTCAGTGCCTAGGAACTAAGTTAGTAATACATTTCACACCAAAGTTGCACTGGCTTGACTTAAATGGGTTTCATTAGATTCAGCTTTTGCATGTGGATTTCCTTATATTGGTTTGTTATATCAGTTTGTTTGCATATTTAAAGCCAGTTTTAAACTGAGAGAAGAGGTGCAGTTGAAGTGGTCTAACAACATCCTCATTTCGGATAATCAAAGCAAAGGATGGAGCTAGACTGTTCTCAGTGGTGGCAGATGACAGAACAAGGAGCAACAGTCTCAAGTTGCAGCAAGAGAAGATTAGGTTAGATATTAAGATAATTTTCTCACTAGGAGTGTAGTAAAACCCTGGAACAGGTTACCCAGAGAGGTGGTAGAAGCTCCATCCTTGAAGGTTTTCAAGACCCAGCTAGACAAAGCTTTGGCTGGGATGATCTAGCTGGGGATGGCCCTGCTCTGAGCAGGGGGTTGGACTAGATGGCCTCCTAAGGTCCCTTCCATAGGTGATGCAGAGGGAGGCACGGGGGGGCTTGGCCCTTGTCAGCCAGGGAGTGGGGGGGTGATGTCCGGTGCCCCCCCTGAGAATGTGGGGGTGCTGAGAGAAGCACCAGTGGCACTTCTGGGTTTGCTGCTGGCACTTCTGCCAGTGGTGACGATTGGCCACTGAAGGACTCCCCCCACTCATTGGCGATAGGCTGCTGGTGCCCCCCCAAGATTAGGAGGCACCAGTTGCCCATGGTCCCTTCCAACCCTAATTTTCTATGATTTTCGGGAGGGGGGCACTTAGCTACAGATATATTGTTGATTCAGTTTTGCTTTTTGCATGTTTTCTAGTTAAGATTTTTCAGGGGGGAAAAACATACATATGCAAAAACTTTGAATTAGATCTCTTTTCAACATATATCAATATGATATCCAAGAAAACAATGCTTAGGGAAATAAATTCAGCTATTTATGGGGGAGATCACCACTGTGCACTCAGCAACAGTATCTTGGCTGAAAAATAATTTACCTGTAAAATATGACACTACTTGACACCAAGTATTGAACTTGCTTGTATATGTGTACGACTGCCCTCTACTGAACTGAAGCAGAACTGCTCAGCTGCAGGGCATAATACCTAAGGCAGCAGGTCTCAACCTTTTTGGAGTCAAGGCACCCTTCACTGGCCTCAAGGCACCTCTCCATAACACTTGTGAATTGAATGGCACCCAAGTTCAAAAATGAATATATTTATTACAGTGCTTACCCCCTTGTAGGAGTCCTGGGTGGTTCAGTGGTATAATCCTTGTTGCCACACAAGTAACCCAGGTTTGATTCCCAGAGGAGAGAGGAACTGGGAAACTATAGGCCAGTTAGTCTCACTTCTATTCTTGGAAAAAATCATTAAGGATCACAATTGTGGGAACCCAGCAGGGAGAATAATGCTGAAAATAAATCAGCATGGATTCATTGCAGGTAGATCCTGCCTGACTGACCTTGTTTCTTTTTATGACCAGGTCACAAAACGCTTAGAGACAGATGTCAAGGTAGATGTCATCTACCTAGACTTTAAGAATGCCTTTGATACGGGATCTCATTTTATTCTCATAAATAAACTGCCAGGCTGGGATGTAGATGATTACACGGTCAGGTGGGTGGCAAATTGACTTAGGGGTCACACCCAGAGAGTGGTGGTGGAAGGGTCAATATCAACCTGGAAAGATGTGGGCAGTGGAGTCCCGCAAGGCTGAGTCCTTGGACCGGTGCTATTCAACGTCTTCATCAGTGACTTGGATGAAGGCATAGAGAGCACCCTGTCTAAGTTCGCAGATGATACCAAAGTATGGGGCAAAGTTAACACACCAGAGGGCAGGGAACGGATCCAGGTGGATCTGGACAGGTTGGAAAAATGGGCAGAATGAAATAGGATGCAGTTCAACAAAGACAAGTGCAAAGTGCTGCACCTGGGCAAAAAGAACCACCAACACACTTACAGGCTGGAGGATGCCCTTCTCGGCAGCACAGCAGCGGAAAGAGATCTTGAAGTCATAGGTGACTCCAAGATGAACACGAGTCATCAATGTGACAAAGTGATCAACAAGGCTAACCGCGCTTTATCATGCATTAGCAGATGCATGACAAACAGGTCCAGGGAGGTGATGCTTCCCCTCTATGCAGCACTGGTCAGGCTGCATCTGGAGTACTGCACCAGTTTTGGGCGCCGCACTTCAAGAGGGATGTGGAGAATCTTGAGAGGGTTCAGAGGAGGCCACTCGTATGGTCAGAGGCCTGCAGGCGAGGCCCTACGAGGAGAGACTGAGAGGCCTAGTTCTCTTCACCTCTCCGCCTTCTCTTGCGAAGGTGATCTTGTGGCTGCCTATAAATTCACCAGGGGAGGGCAGCAGGTAATAGGAGATGCTCTATTTACTAGGGCACCCTCTGGAGTAACTAGGGACAATGGCCACAAATTGATGGAGAGCAAATTTAGGTTGGACATTAGAAAAAACTTTTTCACAGTAAGGGTTGCCAGAATCTGAAATGGGTTCCCAAGAGAGGTGGTGCTCTCCCTTACGCTGGGGATCTTCAAGAGGAGACTGAACAAGCACCTGGATGAGGCTGTCTGACCCCAGTGCTCTTTCCTGCCCAGGGCAGGGGTCAGACTCAATGACCTACTGAGGTCCCTTTGGACCCTAACATCTATGAATCTGTGTATACAATACAGCCATGGAGGCACCAAACATCTGGACTCAGCCTGGCCTTTGGATTCTGTCCCAGTGCCCTCAAGGGAGGGATGGGAGGTCTGGGCAGCCTCCACCTCTCAAAATAATGCCTGCCTAGGCACATATGTCAAAGGTCTCGGTGACCTCTCATGCATCCACCAGGATCAGTGGTTCTCCAACTAACCCCTTGTAGTGGGAGACTGGTCAGGCAGGGACAAACTAGAGCCTGCTTTTATCTTAGCTTTCTCTGCTTACCTCACTTATCCCCTCACATCTCAGGACACCCTTCCAGGGATCTGGTGGCACCCTGGGGCGTGGGGCACCCTGGATGAGAATCACTGACCTAAGGGCTGAAGTGGGGAGTTTCCTTTTGAATCCAGACACATCACCATTACATTTCCTGTAAGGGATGATGCTGTTTGGAGGAATACAATTAACTCCTCTTCTGCTTCCTCCCCCCAATGAAGGATCTCAAGCCAAAGGTGGTGCAGCGCGGTCATGGGGAACGTATCCTAGCGCTAGGGGTGCACCCCCAAAGGCAGGGGGTGGCGAGGCCGGCCTGGGGCACCCTTAGGCTCGGTGCACAGAAGAGCCCGACCCTACAACACCCAGCTCCAAAGCCACCCACGCCCACCCCCTTCTCCGGTCCCGGGGGGCGGGGCCAAGGGCAGCTCCAAGGTGGGCGCGGCCACTCGATGGGCGGAGCCGGAAGGCACAGGCGGGAATGATGGGCTGCTCCGGGGCTTCCGGCGCCGTGCCCCGGAAGCGGAATCGGGACTGGTCCGCGGCTTCCCCGGCGGAACGAGCGTAGCGGCCGGCGCACGATGCGGGCCGTGCTGATGGTGGCCGAGAAGCCGTCCCTGGCGCAGTCCATCGCCAGGATCCTGTCGAGAGGTGCTCGGGGAAGGGGGGTCCGGGTCTCAGGGGGCGGGTCTGAGCCGTAGGCGGCAGAGAGCCGCCAGCGCGAGGGGAAGGCCTCGTCAGGCTGGGTGGCACCCGCGGACTCGCCTTTCCCCTTCCCCTGGCAGGAAACATGACCTCCCGCAAAGGACTGAACGGCGCCTGCTCGGTGCACGAGTACGGCGGGGCCTTCGCTGGGCAGAGCGCCCATTTCAAGATGACATCCGTGTGCGGCCACGTGATGACGCTGGACTTCATAGGTATTGTCCATCTGTGGCGCGCCCCAACTGCAACGGTCCGTGCCCTCTGCGTTATTCAGTAAGGAGTAGCAGGGCTGGACCTCCGGCTTATTTGGGCAGAGAGGTGCAGGGAGAGCCAGGGAGAGTGGAGGCAGGGCGGCCTTCTGCACCACCTGCAGATTGGGGTTAGGAGTGGTGGGTTGGTTTCTGCATTCGACTTGGCCTAGCCTGGGGCGAATCGCTTGTTTTCTCTGTGCTGCCCATGTTTTACCTGTCAGCGGGGAGCTCGGAGCCTGCATTTTTTCAAGGTTGGAAAATGCTTTGAGATCCTTGGATGGAAGTGACCTGATGACCACAGCATGCAACCTACTATTTAAAAAGATGCAGCCTAAAATAAGCAGTGGTTCTGAGGTTGTTTTATGCAGTGTGTGAAGCTTCTCTCTGTAGGTTGGTGTTGCACTGACTTGCTGGTGGCTTGGGGCTGCTCGTTTGTTTCTCAGTAAAATGGGTATAATGTTCGACTACCGTCCAGATGCTGTGGGCATTCAGGAGATTGTACAGTACTTTGCATATGAACAGTGCTGTGTAATTATTAAATCATATTGCTGCTACCAGTGATTTCAAGTCACGTGAGCAGGGAAAATGGAAATCAGGCAGTAGTCTGATCCTGAAGAGCAGGGAGGCCGGCTTGGACAAACAGGTTGACATGGTTAGGCCCCAACTGAGTGTATGTGAGAAAAAACAATGGTGACTCTGCCTAAGGGGGGCTGTCAAGTGTACAGTCCATATAAACAGTGAAAATGGGTTTTCCTTCTCTCTCTAATATTTTACTTATGCTAATCTGCAGTTACTTTTTTCTAAATATAACTAAATACAGTTATGACTTTTTTTTTTCTCTTGAAGTTGTCACTTTAACAAGTCAGCTCTAACTGTAAGTCAGTGACCATTATGTTACCTGGCACTGTAGTAGGAAGGACTGAATTTTGGACAGTCGAGGCTAATAGGTGAGATTGAATGGTTACCCCATGAGTGAATGTTAGAAAGCCATGAGTGTGTACAGTTAATGGTTTACTTACAGCATCTTGAAACTCCAGCTAATACGCATCCCCATTTTAGGCAAATATAACAACTGGGACAAAGTGGATCCAGCAGAACTTTTTAGCAAAGCGCCAACAGAAAAGAAAGAAGCTAATCCCAAATTGACTATGGTGAAATTTTTACAGGTACTCTGTTATGAGATCTATTTTAAAGCTGTTTTATTGTTTTGTTTGGTTTTAAATTTGTTGCAGTTTACCCTCTTTAGTCATCCAACTGTCTGTTCTGTCTTTGCAGGGAATGAAGCCAAATGGCTGCTACTTGTAGGCAGGGCCATCCCTAGGTGGGTGGGAAGAGGATTGGGGTGACCGCCTGTGCTTTGGGGCGCCCCGCGGAGCTTGGCGGAGTAGTGACTCTGCGCTGCTGCCAGCTTCATGTCCGGCTGCTTACTCCTTCTCCCCCCCCCACCCCCGCTGAATCCGATACCAGCTTCCTTGTGTCCAGAGGTGGGGCCCTGCACAGGCTGACTTTTGTAGGGCAGGGGTGTCAAAAATAAAGTTCATGGGTCAGATTTGGCCCTCAGAGCCCCACTATGTGGCCCTTGGTACTGCTTCTGCATCTGGAGTGGACCTATTTGCAGCACATGGTGTGCATTAGAGCGGCCTCATGCAGGGCTCAAGGCCTGAGCCACACATAGGCCCTGTCCCCCAGCTGATGTGGAACACGTTTTGTACACAGTACCTGCTCCACCCAGTCTAAGACATGTGCTCCATGTAGTGCCCACTCTGGCAGGTCCAGGACCCATGTTGCATGTGGCTCCCTCTCCTCTGGCAGGTCCAAGTGTTGCGTGCTGTATAGGTCCCAGATGGGCTAGAGTGTCCGCATGCATGCAGTTTGTATCCTGGACTGGCCCTGCCTGGGCACTGTGTGTGGTGCAGTCCTGGACCAACGAGAGCAAGCATGACAAGCGCTGGATCTGGCATGAGTGGGAGGTGTTGCTCTTTGGGCCTGAACTGGTCCATGCAGCCAGTCACATGCCATTCATCCAGCTCAATGGACTGACCCTGAACCACTCATCCAGCCTCTGGGGCCAGATTAATTTGACACTCCTAGTGGCAGAGGACTGGAGGAGGGCCAACATGGTTCCCATTTTCAAAAAAGGGAGGAAGGAGGACCCAGGAAACTATAGGCCAGTCAGTCTTACCTCAATCCTGGGTAAGCTTTTTGAGAGAATTGTCCTGGCGCATGTCCACAAGGGGCCAGCGTAGGGGGAAGTTATGCTTAGGGGCAATGAACACGGGTTCATTAGAGGTATGTCCTGTCAGACCAACCTGGTGGCCTTCTATGACCAGGTCACAAAATTCTTAGACGCAGAGGTAGTAGTGGACATAGTCTTTCTGGACTTTCGGAAGGCCTTCGAAACTCTCTCTCACCCCATTCTCATTAAAAACTAGGGGACTGTGGTGTCGACACCTACACGGTCAAATGGGTCGCTAACTGGCTGGAGGGTCACACCCAGAGAGGTGGTGGATGGGTCATTTTTGACCTGGAGGGATGTGGGCAGTGGGATCCCCCAGGGCTCGGTCCTGTGGCCTGCACTGTTCAAAATCTTCATCAGTGACTTGGACAAGGGGGTAAAAAGGACCCTGTTCAAATTTGCTGATGACACTAAGATGTGGGGGGATGTGGGCATGCTAGAAGGGAGAAATAGGCTGCAATCCGACCTAGACAGGTTACAGGGGTGGGCGGATGAGAACAGGATGG